CCAATGATTAGAAATATTCAGAAATCATATTAATTTGTGATGCAATAGAGATTCTTTCCTGTAGACTTTGGGCTGATTTGTGTTGGATTGTGATAATCTGATAAACGCTAATTTAATTAAATTTTGCCTAATATCACTACAGGTTTATAGAAGTAGCGAAAAGCAGGTGGAGTCTTTATTCTCATCAAGTTAATTAATTAATGACTCCTAATGGCCTCGATTTTGAGCAGCTTGCACGTCAACAACCACACATGTTTAAGACATTTCTACTCTCAGTCATTTGTCTGCTTATTTTCCTTCCTTCTGCTTTCGCTCCACATTCATCCTTTTCTCCCAGAACATCAGGGGCATCTTTCTGCACAGTTAAGATTTTATTAAGCCTCATTAAGAAGATCTGGACTAATTGTTTCTATTTGAAAGATGGAGTATCTGGAGGTGTACGCCGTGTTTCATCTTTTTCTGGGTCACTGCTCTCTCACTCTTCTCATTTCATCTCCTCCAGACCGACACAGCTGCTCTACAAATCCAACCACTTTCCTCCCCTCATCCCCTCACGCTTTAACACTCAAAGTCCCAAAGTGCAGACTTTAGTCTGCACCTAGTTTGTATCAAGTATCCCCCCAAAGGTGTTAACGGCTCTCCTCTGGTGCTCCATTTTCAAATCAAATGCAAATGTAAGAATGTGGTTTGGTGACTTCAGCTGGTGTGCTGGGGTTTCTTTGTTTAAGTTGCCTCCCTTTGTGTTGTAAAGGAGCTTTTTCAAGGAGTTGAGTAATTTACAGAATTTCTGTGGGGATAAATAGAGCAGGCACAGCACACAGACTCAGAATTCACCCGGAATTCACCATGGCACAACCAAGGCGACCAAGAAGGATGAACGCTCAGGAGGCTTTAGCCATGCTTCAGAGCATGCCAGACTAGGAATATGATGGTGGATCTGTTGGAGACTTAGCATTTCAGAATGAAAACGGCGCAACCGATTCTTCAAGTGAATAGGATGATTCTGATGAGAATGCGACTCCAAAGACGGACCAGGGGCCGGGTGGTCAATTATATTATTGAGCGGGACAGTTCAAACACTGAGGCTACATAAGATGAAGAGGAAGAAACAGTGCGCGGCAACCCCCCTCCTTGCAAAAAGCAAAAAACTGTTGATGTTGGCACAATGCCTAAATCCACAGAGAAGGCGAAAGATGGCACTGTTTGGTCCAACTGGAAAGAAGACTTTTCTGTTCCTGAAACCCCACAGACTGCCTTCAATGGATCCGGAGGGCCAACAGATTCTGCGAAACACAAAATCACAAGTCACCTTCGCAGCTTCCCGTGTTTGTTGGATATGAACATGTTGCTGACCATCAGAGACTGCACAGTCCACGAGGCCCGCAGAACAAACCCCAGCTGGCAGATGAGTGTCTATGAGCTGATGGCTTTCCTCGTAATCCTTTTTCGAAGGGCTGCCATGGGTTACATTGGTCCCATGCGACACATGTGGGCCAATAAATTCGGAAACGCAGATATCAAACCCATAATGCCTCGTAACCGTTTTTTGAAATAAGACGGTACCTTCATTTTGACTACAAGGACACCCGCAAGGAACGCATACACAATGACAAATTTGCAGCAATTTCTGACATCTGGATGCGGTTTGTTCAGAACTGTGTGTCGTCCTACAGTCCAGGACAGCATGTTACTGTGGATGAGCAGCTGTTTCCGTCCAAGGTTCGGTGCCCCTTTTTGCAGTACATTGCATCCAAGCCTGACAAGTTTGGAATCAAGTTTTGGATTGCAGCAGATCTGGACACAAAATACATGTGTAATGCCATCCCTTACTTGGGAAAGGATCCCACTCGTCCAAAAGGAGAGAGGTTGTCAGAGAACGTTGTTCTGAAATTGATGGAACCGTTTTTGGACAAGGGAAGGACTGTAGCTATGGACAATTTCTTCACCTGTCTGTCTTTGGCTAACAGGCTCCTTCAGCGAAATACAACTCTGCTTGGTACCATCAACAAAATCCGTCGGGAGCTACCAGCAACTGCAAAGGAAACCTCGGGGCGCCAGTTGCACTCCACACAGGTGTTCAAATCTGGAAGTGCCTTGCTGACGGTGTATGCGACAAAAAAAAAGAAATCTGTCTCTTCTTAGTACCATGCATCACAGAGTGGAAATTGTGGACATTCAAAAACAAAAACCAAACACTGTGGTTGATTACAACAATCTCAAATGTGGTGTTGATATTATGGACCAGAAACTGCACAACTACTCTGTGCGTTCAGGAACACGGAGGTGGCCTATGGCTGTGTTTTATAACCTGCTTTACATGGCCGCCACAAATGCACATGTTTTGTACACAGCGTGTACAGGATCGAAAGAAAGTCGTCGACTGTTCATGCTAGAGCTTTCAGAGGAACTCAAAAACAGGCTCCTGCAGGAAAAGACACAAGAGGAAGAGCAAAAACAGCTACGTCGTGAGATGAGAGTTTCCCAGCAGAAAAAAGACTCAATGCCAGGTGCGCATACTCTGCAATAACAACAGAAGTACTGAACGTTGTGTCCACTGCGGCAAATTTACCTGTGGCAAGGAAAGGCTCACCATGGGAATGTGGAAACTGCTAGATGGGACAATTGCATTTTACATTTTTCCACATTATATTTAGTGCTTTATCCATATGTAGACTGTTTTTCTTTATCTGAAATAAAAGGCTATAACTTCTGTCTGTTGTTTTTCAAAATTGAGCTGTTTGGGGTGGTATTTGGCTCCAGTCCCCCCAACTGATCTGTACAATGAAAATATCTCCATCAGCTGACAAGAATATTTATACAACAATGACCATCTGCCCCATTTACTAGATGGCAAACAAGCAAACATCATCCGCTCTCGATTTCCAGCGGAAAGCCGGTTTTGTGCTGGAAACCCGTTTCCAGCTCAAATTCCAATCTGGCGGCAGGTGGAAATGTAAAGGTTGTGGGTGGGAAGTCTAGCTCCGAGAATAAATAGGCCCAGCAGATCGACTCAGAGTTATTGAGATGTCAAGCTTGGCTTGGCTTGGCGTACAAGCTTGGCTGCAACAGACGAGCATGTGTTGTACAAGCCGTGCACAGGGACCAAAGAGAGTCCACCAAAGTTAATTCTGCTACTTGCAAATGAACTTGGTAACATTTGTATGCAAGAAAAGGCAATAAAGGAAGAACACATGAGACAGCATTGTGAGATGAAGAGACTAGGGCTGTTCCTTTTGTGACATAAATGTTACTCCAATACTAAAGGCATACTGTTTGTCATTCTCTAAGATTAAATTTTGAATGACATAAAAAGGCGAGACAAGACAAAATACAATTATTCTTTCTTTCATATAGTGAGCTTTGCAATATGAATTAGTCTGTTGGTGAATGGACAATAGAAATAGGCTCTGCCTTGCCTTGTTGGAAAAGCATGGTTATGACCTGTTCTCAGCTCAGGAACTAGGACCTCTATGATATCTGGTTGTTCAATAGGTTTGCCTAAATAAAAGATTTAGATATGACCTGCAAAAAGGTATGATGTTGCAGGGGCAGGTACTGAAAAGTGCTTGGAACATGGTCTTGATGCCAGTTTGTTTCAGCCTTTATCCAGTCTCATGTAGAAGGGCTGGTCATATCACAGGTTATTTGCATTACAATAGGGACAGTTAGCAAGGTAGAGTGAATACACAAACTTGCAGAGGGGAGAGGGGCTTGCAGGAAAACTGAAAATCTCTGGGACATCTAGTGTTAATTCCCCCTCCTTACCCTCATCCAAACCCGCAGTCCTTTAGCTTAAGCCCCGGACTGTGAAAATATGTTGCTGTCAAGCTGTGGGGAGATATAAACCTGAACTTTACAATCTGCTCTTTTTTTCATGCATAAAGCTTTTCGCTCAATGACTCTAAGTTTGTGAAATAATCTCCCTGTTATACATCAGTGACGATGATTCCTGAGCTTTTTAGGTCTTTAAATCCTCCTTCAGATTAACATAACTCACAGACGGCACCTGTCAAAAAGAAAATCGCCTCATTATAAAGTTCATATTATCCAAATTCTATTCGGGACACTTTCACCTCATTTCACATATTTATTGATTTCAACAAACCGAGCATTTATGTTACTTCATGCATCCTAACACTTTCCTTTAGTCCCTGCTAGAATATTTTAGGAAGGTTAAGTACTGATCGTACAAGGAAGGGAGGGAGGGAGGGAGGGAGGAAGGGAGGGAGGGAGGGAGGGAGGGAGGGAGGGAGGGAGGGAGGGAGGGAGGGAGGGAGGGAGGAAAAACAACCGATTTAAAGACGAGTTTACGAAGAAGGAAAGAAGAAAGGAAGGACAAAAAGGATGCTAACATAAGAAAGGGAATAAAGTTTGTAAAAGGAAATATATTTCTCTGTTATTTATTATTGTTGTTATTCTTTTTTTGACCCTAAAATATGATCAACTACCAGCCTTTTCCAGCCTTTTCCAGGCTGTATATAGTATCTAATTAAGCAGCTTATAAAAATACAATAATTTCAAATAATGTAAACTTTTGACTATGACCAATTTGAAGCTGCCCAATAGGAAGCTACGGGCGTGATGACCTCATCAGGTTTTTCCTCCCGGTCTCTGGAAAAATGTGGATGAAGGTGGTTTCTTTCCAGACTGCGGTTCACCTGATGATGTCATCATCTGGAAACATAACCTTAAACTCAGCAAAGTCATTGAAAACAGAAAAAGTGTGAAAAGCCAAACATTTTGACCGATATCCTTCCCCGGGTAAATCTCTCGCTGCAGGCGGGTTTGTTGTGTTTTTTGTTGTTTTAACGACATGCTCTGTTTCTCTGATATTGTTCTCTTTTCTACTTCCTTTTCCAAACTTCCTATCTTCCGTCTGACTTCCTGAAATGATCTCTCCATCTCCCTGTTTCTGTGAAATGTCTCCTTTGGCTGCCTGCCTTTTTTTTCCTGCCTCTTCTTCTATCCACTGCATTTCTTTTGTCTTTACTGGGAGCCAGTGAAGGAAAGCTGGTGGTCCTGGCTTTGGCCATTGGTGTTGCAGAGCAAGATGACTTTGCCAATATCCCTGACCTGCAGGAAACGGCGCAGGCAGCACCAGCAGCCAATCAGGAGCCCCCTCCTGAGAAGAGGTACCAGCTACTGTATGAGAGGCTTTGTGAGTATGTGTGTGAGGAAAGTACATGAAAGGGAAACGGGATTCGATCTCACAACCGATGAAGAGCAGAGCCTTTTTTATAAAGAAATGAGTTCAGACTATGCAAATGTAAAAACAGACTGATGCAGAGGTGAGATCGCTAAAAGAGATAAAACGAGCTCATAAAGCATCAGAGTGCGATGCTCATTGGTTCTTCACTCCTTTATTACGCTTTTAGCTGCAGCATTTTAAACAATGAGATAAACTGTGTTTTCCCATGCCAGTGGACTTTTATTTGCCACCATCACCATAATCATTGTCTCCATCACAGTAGCACCATTCTCCTCACTATTTTCCTCAGCCTGCTTGTCTGAGGCCTCCTGCTGGTAATTGTCGTATTTCCTTTGCATTTTCATTCTTTTTATTATCCTAGCCCTTTTCATTCCCGTGTTCTTCTTTTTTCCTCGTGCTCATTAGCTTCCTTCAATCACCCTCCGCCGCTCTGAGAGTCTCGTCTCTGCAGCTCCACAGAGGGCCCGGAGAGCCTCCTCATTATTCCATAACGCGTTAGTCACTTACATAAACATGCAGCCAGAAATAGCCTCTTCCTCGTCAGCCAAGTTACACACTCCGAGTCCAAAATATTTCCACTCGTCTGTGAGGACGATCCAGCCTTGCTTCCTTGCTATCTCCTGAAATAATTAGCTCTGGATTCTCTAGTGGAATGGGACCAGTTTTAATAAACGACTTCAGCGTCATGTTAAGCAAATAGCTCGGGCCATTTTCTTTATCCGCTGATGGTCATCCAGATTATCAGGATTTTGCTCCACAGACCTAACAGTAAATCTTGCATAATCTCTAGCCTATAATTCTCTGCAATCAATTTAGATTAAATTACCTCCCCCCAGTTTTCTTATGATTTAGTGACAGAACTCTATAAAAATGGTTGAAGAGTGTAAATAAATCCCAATTTACCTCTGACTACCTTTTTATTTAAGCCGGGCGTACTCTGTACGGTATTTTAAATCGTTGCACGCAGCTACAGCTCACATCGTACAATGAAACCTCAGGGTTTAAAAGTTCCCAGCTCACCATGTTTGTTCGCATCAGAGCGTCGGGTCGCACAGCGTGAGATCTACCTGCTCACACTGTACGTCTAAAAACCAGGTGGGACTCGGCTCCGCAGTGAGATGGCGCTACTGGGACTCGTCTACCTGGAAGCCAAACCAGTAGCAGAGGAACATGAAGCTCACTAGAGTGAAACGCGCTGCCTTGGATATAATTTAGTGCTGAAAGCCCTAAAAAGAAAAGGAGACGACGTATTTGGACAAAGACATGGCTGAGCAAACGTGGCTACTACGGTCTGACAGTTTGACAGAAAGAACTCCATTTCACTCATTGCCCCCCCGCCATGCTGCTGGGTTTATATCTGAGAGGAAGAAGAAGAAGAATTCTTGTTTGCCCACTGAGCGATTTGCCCACGACCACCTTAAGATGGCCGACTGGATTTAAAACATGTTTGAGGTGTCGGAGATTCTCCGTCTTCCAGGTCAGAGTCGTTCCAAAAAAAGAAAATAAAAAACAATCCACTGGACTTTGTTTCCAAGTCTGCAGACATTTCTCTTCCATCCAGGAAGCTTTTTCAATTAGAAATGTCAGAAATAGGTTTGAGTTCCAGGTTTTATGCAGCAGCCTCATCTTTTGAAACAACTTTGATTTTCTCCTGACCTTCTGATTCCTGATGGGGGGGGCGGTGGTCGTTAGAGGCTGATCGCCCCTCGTTACCCCCTGTTCACTACGCCACGCACCATCAGGCTGAAAGTCGGCCCGATCGAAAAAATCTAGAAGAATCAGCCGAAAAAGGACAGAAAGATCTTACAGCGTACGACCAGCTTAACAAACTCTAAATGTGGGAGGAATTTTAACATAAAGACAGCAAATAATTTAGCTATTTAGAAGTCTTAAATATTTGATGTTGTTTTAAAGGTAAATTTTTTAATGCAAGTATCCAACATTAGAGGGAAATTCAAGGACAGATCGTCTGAGCAGCTATTCTCAATTTTTAGAACGCTGCTATAAAGGCAGCTTTTTATTTTCACTTGGCTTCAAACAGCTTTGTCCTTTTCAGCTTTTTTTTTTTTGCATTTGGTGAAACCTTTACAAATGGGTTACAAAATCCACTAATTGACTAAACAGCGAGTGGGAAGCAGTGTGTGGCCCCCAGGATCCACCCTGATGACTGAGTGCACTATGATATGTTCAGGATTAACCTGTGGTTCATATAATCTTTACGACTTTAAATCAGAACGACTGTCAGTTTATGCCCACATTGAAAGCTTTGCATTGATCAACCTATCAGCCTTCAGTGAGGTCAACTAATTTCATTTGCAATTATTTCTTTTTTGTTCTCTGTCAAGGTTAGGAATTTTATTTTTTTTTTTTATGTAAAATAAACTTTTGATATCTGGCTGCTTAGTTTTGAGGCTGAATCAAATATTTGCTGTCAGCAATTTATCAAAAATCTAAAGTATAAGCTTAAAGGGAATGTATGATCCCCTTGGCGTGTCTACGCTGCTTTCACAGGTGTCTATATAATCAATCAAACTCACAACACAACTTCTATTCTAAGGTGTAGCACAAAGCCACACTTTCATTTATGTCTCACCACCTTCCAACCCTGAACAGCTTTCAATCATGGATCATCACTCATCTCCTCATGCATTGCTTCTGTTACACTTCATGAAATCTCATTGTGTCACTGGGAAACCATAGGTGGTTAAAATAAGATCTAAAAATAAGTATATAGATATATACCTTTTATAATTTATACTGTTTTTAATATACCAACATTAATAAAACAAATACACAAAAATAAAACCTTAGAAAAGGGAAATGGAAACATTAAAACAGCACTTTATGTTTCACAAAGTAAAACAACAAAACTTTTCTTTAATTGTTTATTTGGTTTTATTTTTTTCCACTAAAACTGTATCTTACATTAAAGGTATAGTTTAGATTGATCAATTTCAATTCAATTCTATTCAGTTTATTTCTATAGCTCCAATTCCCATCATGTCATCTCAGGTCACTTTCCAGCTCACCAGATCATCCAGTCAGATTGATTCAAAGTTTTCTATCTAAGGAAAACCAGCTGATTGCATCGACTCATTGACTCTTCAGCAATCCCTCACACTAAGCATGCTTGTAGCGACAGTGGAGAGGAAAAACTCCCTTTGAACAGGAAGAAACCTCCAGCAGAACCAGGCTCAGTGTGAGCGGCCATCTGCTGAGGCCCACTGGGGTTCAAGGAGACAGAAGCAGACATAGAAAAAGAAGCATAGATACAAAAGGCAACTGTCAACCAGCTCCACAGGCGGCCCCGTCCAGGAAACACACAGCCAGGCAGACGAGCTCCGAGCCAGCTCCCATGTCAGAGGATGAAGAGAGCACATCCAGTTAGTCACAGTCAGAGAAACAGGACTACACTGGAAAACAGGCCAAGCTCCAACATCTAGAAACAAAGGTGTTGATGGCAGCAGCACAGCTGATATTTCTCTCCAGGATGGAGTCACAGCCAAACAGGAACAGACCAGATGAAGCTACTATGAGAAAAAGCAGAGAGAGCAGAACGTTAGAGATTGAACTAACAGATTCTGCAGAGTGGGAGAATAGAGATAGAATGAAGCAGAATGATGAAAAAGGGGTCCCTATGTCCTCCAGCAGTCTAAGCCTATAGCAGCAGAACTATAGAGATAGATCAGGATAACCTGAGCCACTCTAACTAGAAGCTTTATCAAAAAGGAAAGTTTTAAGCCTAGCCAGATTGTTAAATCCAGGATATTAGGAGATACACTGACACAGTAAAATGAGCTGCGATTAATGTAAGACCTAAAAAGTCCATTTTAACAGTCAGGTTACACATGGTGCTGCTCTGTATCAGTGTCAGAATTTCAGAGTTGATTTTACTCCAATTAGAGCTATAGAAATAAACTGAATAGAATTTAACTTAGATCTATCAAGGTTACACTAAATAATAAAAACAAATACAAAGACTGAACAGAGTGACCTACCTGTATTGCAAGCTTATGTCAGAATGCTGCAATAATAAAAAAATACAATAATAATACAAAAAAGGTAAATTAGATTTAATTCTGTAGTTGGTGCTGTATTTGATATCGCCCACAGAGGCCTCTTCTTCTTCTTATGGAGATTTCCTGCTGACTAGGTGCATCCTGGCCCTTTGCTGCCTCTCTAGGTGAAACACAAAGTTACCGGCAGAGGCGTTTCCAGCGTAGAGAACTTTTATGACGCATGCGCACTGCTAAAAAATACACTAACAGCCATTGGAGATATCTTTCACCCCAGAATCCTCTTTCCTGCCTTTAAGAAAGGTAACAAAGTATTTGTACTTTAATTGCACCTCTCTGCACCGCAACATAAACATAAAGCCTCTTGATGAGTCTATTGACACATGATAAAACAAAATCCATACAGACAAGTTAAAAGATTCCCCTGTACAAACGCACTTTAAATTACTACTTTTCTATATATCTAATGATATGTATGCAATTGTAATAAAATGATCAATTTGGGTCTTTTACTAACTGTGAAGTATTTTGGCAGTGTTGATGCACCGATTTCCATTAGCTTGGAAATGATTCCTCCATGTCTGCTGCTCTTTACTCCCATTATCAGATCATACTGGAGGCCCAAATAATGACAGCTCTGTTAATATTTCTGAGCTCCATGTTTATGGTTAAAAGCAATCCAGATAAATGCAAAGGTGTTGGATGTGCGATATTCATTATTCATCGGCCTCATGTGTGCCGTAGCCGGGAGGAAGCACTCTCACTGCTGGTGCGTTTCTGAAGTGCATCACAGCCGACTGACGGCTTGAACTGCTGCTCCTCTGATGAAGTCTTTCTGACCAGTGACAGCGAGGAAAGGTTGTATGATGAGACGTTAACCTACCAGGCATCCATAAGTTGTGTTTTC